AGAATATATATAATAACTTATTGTATCAGTCCAAGTTCAGAAACTTGTGGTAGTTCAGTTCCAGATAGTTTCATTTCACCTGTAAACTGTATCACTTTTACTGGTATTGTAATTTTCAAATGTATAATATGTTTGCAGATGTGTGCCCTGCATTTAGTGTTTTGTTCCTATTTTGTTTTTTATTTTGTCTCCTACCTGCTTGCCAAAGGCTAGGATGCTTCAGGCCCGTGTACAATTCAAAGTGAGGCATCCTTGACCTTTAAAGCATTGAACAAACCGGAAAATGCATCAGGCCACATACTGAACTGAAAAATATCTGTTTTGTATTTCTTTCATTTTTTAAATAAAAATTTTCAAAAGGTTTTTAAAAAAGATTGATTAAAGGGGGGGGGGAAAGTACTGTTAGAATCTCGGCTGCTGCTCAGGCCACCGTACCTGAAGCAGCCCCAACCTCTCACATGTGGGGATTGGTGGGCACATCCTGGTCCTCCCCCCTCCACCCCCTCTGCCCTGCCTCCTGCCTGAGAATCAGAGAGCCTGCCATGAAACCACCCCTGTCCTCTGAAAAGTGTAAGAAGACATAGAAGTGAATTACCAGGGTTCGTTTTCAATGTGAGGTGAGCTTAAAGTCCATCGGAGTTACAGGTCAGCGAGAAGCACCAAGTGCCCCTCTCTCCGAGTAGCCTGAGGCGGTCCCCACTTCTGTCAGGTAAAGCCAGGTACTTTTGCGCCACAGAAAAGAGTTCCAGGACAAGTCACAGGAGAGCAAGGTCAGTGATCCTTTGGATTTTGTTGGGTTTTGGGAGGAGGTGGGGGGGGTTGTTTGTTTGTTTTTGTTTTCTCCGTGTAGCCCTGGCTGTGCTGGAACTCCCTCTGCAGACCAGGCTGGCTTTGATCTCAGAGATCTGCCTTCCTCTGCCTCCCAAGTGCTGGGATTAAAGGTGTTCACCACCACCCCAGCTGGTTTTGTTGGAGTTCTGTTTTGTTTTGCTTTGCTTTTTTTTCCTGCCCCCTTCCTACCCAGACCCTTCCCACTACTCCATGGGTGAGTTTATTACACAGAATTAAGAGATAGCACATGATCCGCATAAGCATGAGTACTTAGAAAGATTGTTAAGAAAGGAACAGTGCAGTGCAGAGCCAACCTGCCTCCATCTTAGGCCCAAAGGCCATCTTACAGCAAAGACAAACCAGGCTCATTCTTATTTATGATTAAACCTGTTTCTCAAGGATTAAGCTATGTCTCATCTGTGATCTTAACTACAAATGGTTCTGTCTGTTCCAGGAAATGAGAGCCAAGTCATTGTTTCAAAACGTCAATAACCATCTTGCACCGTACCATTGTTTCAAAAGGTTGTATGACCACCTATGACTGCTTTGTTATGACTGCATGTTGTTACACCCACTTGGCAAGCATGCCTTTGTTTCAGGAGGTCTTTAGGCCTAACTTTTTATGCTTATGTTCTGCTCCTGTAACCCCGCCTACTTTGCCTGTCAAATCCCCTATTTGGAACCCATGAGCTTTATAAAAACTTTGTATTCCTTACATCCAATGCTGACCTCTAGAACCCTGCCTTAGGGGGAGGCAGTCCCTGTATACAAATTTTAAAAAATCTTGCTTTAATTAATTTGGCTGTGTTGATTTAGGTCCATGGTTTCTGTCCTCCCATCTTTGGGATTAACATATAGCTAGGCATGGTAGTAAATGTCTTAATCCTAACACAGGGGAGATTAGGCATGAAGACATAAACTGACCAGGAGTTCAAGATCAGCCTCAGGTGTAAAGCAAGTTCAAGGCCAGCCTAAGCTACATAAGACCACATCTCAAAACTGAAAGGAAAAGTATTGGCTCAGGACCACCAAGACAAAGTATTCAGACCAAGTTAAAGGAGATTGATTTGCCCCAGAGGGACAGTGGGCAGGGATAAGGGGCAAAGACAGGAGATGGAGAGTGAGAGAGAAGGGAACAAAGGAGAGGGGAGAAAAGGGGCGAGGGAGAAGGGAGAGAGGTATCTGTCCCAGGGGGCAAAGGGCCGCCTCTGGATAGAGAGGAGACAGATGTGGCCCATAAGAAAGTGGCAGTTTATAAAGGTACAAGGGGAAACCTGGTGTTAAAATGAGGTGTTTAATTTTAACTGGATATGTTAATTAGGTGAGCCAAAGGGGAACTTTCATTGCTGGACTTTAATACTCTAATAGGTGGACCTTGATAGTCAAATAAGGGAATAGACCTTAGTGGCCAGCTTTAGGAACGTAATATAACAGTTTAGCAAGGCAGAGGGAATTGGGGAGAAGGTCAAAGTCTGCCAAAGCCAGGTCCATCATGTTCGAGCTGGCCAGAGTCCCTTCAAAAACCAAAGCCATTTCAAGGCCAGCCTGGGCTACATGAGACCCTGTAAGAAAGACAAAGAAATGAAGACAGAAAGAGAGGGAGGAAGGGAGGGAGGGAAGAAGAAATAGGAGGAATGGAGGAGAGAGAACACAGATACCCAAGACAAGGGTACAGGATCCCCAAATGCATACACATACCCTGCTTAAACATGGACACACACACACTTATTTACAGCTAGGGCAAAGCGGCGGAAGAAGTCTCTTTCTCTCATTCAGCTTATAGGAAACTGTGAGACAGTAGCTACAAAGGATAAACACTCAACTATCACAACGGTGAATTGTTCCTTGCTTCTGAGGAATGGGACCTTAGGTCCCAGGTTGTCTTTAAGACAGCTTTTTATATAAGTCCAGGAAGAAGAAAATGGAGTCTTTAAAATCCACCATTTTGAAAAGAATTGACTTTTGAGACAGATCATTCCGACCCATTCCAAACCTGTCCAAACCTGGCAGAGTTTGTAGTCCCTAGGTCCATTCCTCTAATGAACAGAGAATAGAAGCCTTTTGTGTCTTTTCTCTGGGGGTCAGCGTCAAGCCCCAGACTTCTGCATTCCTACTAAACACCGAAACTGGCATGCCTGAAGGAATGAGGATTCCTATGGAGCCTTTCTCTCTGGCTGGCTGACATTTTGAAACCCTAGGGAATTGGAATTTTCCCTGCTCCAGGCCTCCCACACCAGAGAAGGGAAAGGCTGGAGCCTGGTGCCAGCCAGAGAAGAGAGGAGAGGGGAGGAGGGGCTTCACACAGTCCAGTAACATCCCAATCACATACAGGAGAGGCAAGTGGAGCCATAGGTCTGTGATGGAGCCACACGTGACCAGGACGACTTATGCATGTGGTTCTCTTGCCTTCCATTTAAACTCTATCTCCCATGTTAAGACCTAAAAGATGGGCTTGGGGTTCTTGGGGGAGCTCTGACTCTCTTTGTCCCTCTTCTCAACAGATCCACCTTGAATAAATCGTTTTCTGTTTTTCACTATTAATTTGGCTCCATTTTTTGTTTTGTTTTGTTTGAGACAGAGTTTCTCTGTATAGCCCTGGCCACCGTGGAACTCACTCTGTAGACCAGGCTGGTCTCGAACTCACAGAGATCCGCCTGCCTCTGCCTCCCAAGCGCTGTGATCAAAGGCGTGTGCCACCACAGCCCAGCTACCATCAGTTCTTTTTGGTACCCACCAAAGCCAGAAGACCCTACTACACCAGACATCTCCTTCCAGGATATAAAGAGAGCAGGCACAATATTGTAGAGGCAAGCAACCACCCTCTGATTGGATCTGAGGTGCGTTCCAAGAGCAGGAGCTGGTACTGTAAGCCTGGTTAACAACCCTCACCTGGGAGACCATAGGTCAAGTAGGGTGCTGTGGGGATTTTGTTTATGATCTAACAGATAAAGCTTGCCCGAAGATCAGAGTACAAAACCAGCCACACTAGTCAGCCTCAGAGGCCAGACAGTGATGACCCAGCAGTCACACTAGTTAGCCATAGAGGCCAGGAAGTGGTGGTACATACTTGAATCCCAGCACTCAGGAGATAGGCAGATGGATCTTTGTTAGTTCAAGGTCACCCTGGGATACACAAAATTGACCCAGTGTAAAACAGAAAGGAAGCTCACAAAGCTGACCCCAGCTCTTGGAGTGACATGCCTTTTATCCCAGCACTAAGGAGGTGGAGACAGGAAGGGATGTGGCTGGGCACAGAGAGGAAGAAAGGCAGGAGGAGACGAGAGAGATGCAGGCTGAGGAGCAGTGCAGTCTAAGTAGTCTGAGGTAGCAGTCTGAGGACAGGATCACCCCTTTGGTCTGAGCACTGGTAGAGGTAAGAACTCTAGTGGTTGGCTGCTTTGCTTCTCTGATCTTCAGCTCTAACTCCAAAATCTGACTCTGAGTTTTTATTATTAAGAACAATTAGAATTTGTGCTACAGGGCACTTACTACTGTTGTTTAACTAAGATAACAAAGCAGCAACTACCTTCTAAAATGGTTTCTTCCACAGACAAACACTACCCTCAGTCTTAACCAGAGAAGCCTCTTTCTTTGCAGTGAATGTCCATGCATTCAGAGACTCCAGGCTTCCCAGGACTCTGGGAACAAGTGGAAAGTGGGGGTTCAGCCCTCCAAGACATTTACAACCCCACTGAGGCACCAGAAGCCCTGCAGAAAGGAACAGGAAGTACATAAGGTGAAGGGCCGTGAAATGCGTTCCTCTCAACCAGGCACAACACTTACAAACCTGAACTCACAGCAACCACAGTTCTCTGCACTGTCTGCCAGGACTGGGCCCATCAACAGTCCGTCATGAAATGATGGGGTGGCTCATCTGGCCCACCTCTTACAGCTGAACTATTAGCTACTAACAGATCCTGGGAGGGGGAGATCACTAACTGTGGTTGTCATCCCACTATTGAGCCCACCAGGCTTCAGTGGATAGCTCGAAACCCATGGTGACTCAGACAGCCATGGTTAAAATCCATGGGTCACAAAACAAGCATGTGTGAGAGAGTTTTGTAGGGAAGGGAGCACAGCCAGGGGTAGGGTGAGAGACAGCAGTCAGGCATGCATGTATAAAATTGTCCAAGAACAAATTTAGTAATAATGAAATAGACCTTAGCGAGTTCTCCATACCCATGTTTATTTCAGCATTATTCACAACAGCCAAGACATAGGATAAGCCTAGGTGTCCATCAACATACGAATGAATAAAGACAACATGACACGTGTACACAGTTGTGTATTAGCCATGATGAAGAGTGAATGCATCATTTACAGGAAAATGGATGAAACTGGAAATCATCATGTTAAGCGAAATAAGACATCCTCACAAAGACAAATATCACATGGATTCTCTCATGTTTACATCCTAGAGAAAATAAAGATTACACAAATATCTACTGGGGAGTGGAAAGAAAACTTGGAGAAATAATAAAGGCAATAATTAAGGTTGTTATAGCCCTGTCTAAAACTGTCACAATAAAACCTAGTATTTTTTATAATTAATATACATGACTGTTTCTAAGAGTTAAAAACAGTGCACACACACACGCTATAGGTTGTGTTGTGGTGCACACACACACACACACACATACACACACACACATGCTATAGGTTGTGTTGTGGTTTGACTCTGAAATCGCTTCCACAAGCTCATATTCTGGGTGCTGCGGGACCTTTAGGAAAAGGAGCCAGAAGCAGTGGGCATTTAAAGTTTGACCTCTGGCAGTAGATTTGCTGTTTCCTGGTCCACTGTGATGACAAGTACCTCCATCACATTCTACTGCTGCCATGAGCTGAAATCATCCAGAACCAGGCACCAAAGCAGATCTTTGTTTCTGGCAAGTATTTGGTCACAAGAAAGTGGCAGTAATTTAGGCGGGTGCCAAGACCTGCACAGTTTTGGATTTGACCTAATTGAGGTAATGAAGAAACAACAGACACACATGCAGAAAAGCTGGGATCCAGTGGACGGTGCACTCAGATGGACATTCAGATGGCATTATATCCATCAGGAAGGAAGGGGCAGGTTAGCTAACCTTAGTAGCCAGTCTCTAGGGGAGCAGTCTCAGGCTGCCGGTATCCCAACCTGGGAGAGGAAGCCACGGTCTGTACTGGAAGCTGTGGTCTGTACTCTACACACACTGTCAACATCTGTACTCAAAGCTAGGGAAGGCCTCGCCGTTCCCATGGGTCTGAGGCACACATTCACTAAGGACTTCATCTCTCCCCACAGGTGGAGGAAATGATTTACCACACAAACATCAAATGCAAATGAGGATTGTGGGTTACATTAATGTAATAAAGAATAGGTTTCAGAGTGGTGGAATTGCAAGAAAAGAAAAGGACATTATATAGGGTCAGCCCACCAAGAAGACTTAGAAACCCTAAACAACAAGATGGGTATTTAGATTCCAAATACATAAGGCAAAAGTTTTTCCACTGGGAGAAATCTCGATGATTGACACACAAACGGCTAGACAGAAATGAGCAAGAACAACAGAAGAGCTCAATGCCAGCAGGATCTAGATGATTCTTATAGAACACCTTATCCAACAACAGCACAATACACGTTCTATGCAAGTGCACCTACTATTTCCTAAGGTGGACCACATCAGGTCCAGCCCATCAGAGCTTATGGGGCACAGCTAAAGCTGCTACTACTATGACTAATGTATAGCACTAAGTGTTTATATTAGGGGAAAAAAGCTAAAGTCTTAATCACTTAAGATTTCACTACAAGAAACTAAGCCAAGCATTGTACCATATGCTTTTAAATCCAGCACTCAAGAGGCAGAGGCAGGAGAATCACCACAACTTCCAGGGCAGCCTGGTATATACAGTGAGCTCTAAGCTAGCTAGAGCTTTATAGCACCAAATAATATTAAATATTAAAAATATGAACATAGGTCAATGAAATTGAAAAAATACACAACAGTGAGAAAATAATAAAACAGGAGGTCTGTTCTCTTTAAAAATCTCCAGCAGGCATGACTAACAAAGAAAAATAGAAGACATAAATTTCCAATATGGGAAATTAAAAGAAAATAATATTAAGTCCTACAGACAAAGCTTCAAACAGGAATCTATAAACAATAATACACACAAATTCCAAAACCCTTCTGATTGTCATTGATTACACAGTATTATCAGATGGTCCATAATATCACAGTAGAGATTATTCTCTAGTTTTTCTTATCCAATTGCTCTAACCAACACTTTAAACATGAGCCAAATGGCTGGAAGTAGAAATTCAAGATACCCGCCATCCTGGATTTATGATACTGTGCTGGGGCAGTTTGTTTTGTGTTATTTCTTAGTGTGGAGAGTTAGGTCTTGCAACACAGAGAGAAGGGGGAAGGAGGGAGGGAGGAGAAGAGGGAAGAGGGGGAGAGGAGAGAGAGGAGGGAAGAGGAAAGAAGAGGAGAGGAGGGGAGGGGAGGAGGGGAGGAGGGGAAGGGAGGGGAGGAGAAGGGAGGCTCCAATCCTGTTAGTTTGCATGAGAGGCCACGCCCCCTGCCACTGCAGTCAAGTCAGACTATGCGGACCTACTGCCTATTCTTGGTTGTCATCGTCACTAGATCTGTAATTAACGAAAATCCACATGGCTGGGTACAGTTGTGAGGGGTTTTATTTTGCTAATTACAGCATTTGAAGTGGGAAGACCCACTTTTTTTTGAGACAGGGTTTCTCTGTATTGTTTTGGAGGCTGTCCTGGAACTTGCTCTGTAGACCAGGCTGACCTCGAACTCACAGAGATCCGCCTGTCTCTGCCTCCCGAGTGCTGGGATTAAAGACGTGCGCCACCATCACCCTGCAGGGAAGACCCACTTTTAATCCTGATCTTTTGAGGTAGAAAGATCCACCTTTAATCGGGGCCACACCTGCTGGCAGCCTGTAAGGGACAGGGAAGAAGGAAGCTTGCTCTCGGCCTGCTTGCCCTCGCTCTCCCTGGCAAGTCCATTCCTCCACTGGCATTGGAGCCTCCTCCTCCGGAATTCTGGCGTATCCGGAAGACCAGCTGAGACTCCAGCCTTGCGGACAGAACAGCTACAGGATTCTTGGACTTTCCATTGGTAGACAGCCATTGTTAGACTAGCTGGACCACACACAGCCTATAAGCCGTTCTAATAAACTTCATATATATGTACACACACACACACACACACACACACACACACAGACTGTAAGCCGTTCTAATAAACTTCATATATATGTACACACACACACACACACACACACACACACACACAGACTGTAAGCCATTCTAATAAGTCCCAAATATATTCATTCTGTACGTTTCTGTTCCTCTAGAGAACCCTGACCAATACAAGGACTCATCAAACTGATTGCAGAATCAGCAAGTTCAGAGAAAATGGATGTACCACCTTGCCCTCATAGATTCAGTTTGGAACCTAGGCTGACTTCTGCCCACGGGCTGGAAGCCTGTGTTTCTTGTTGAGAATTCAAGACTCACTGCAAATGTGGTATATGGTGCATGTGTGGTGTATGTGGTATGGATGTGTGTGTGATGTGTGTATATATGTATTGTGTATGTGTGTGGTATGTATATCTCTGGTGTGTATATGTGTAGGCATATGGTGTATGCATTATGGTGGGTGTGTTGTGTGGATGTGTATGTGATATGGGTTATGTATATGTATGTGTGTATGGTGTGTCTATGTATGTGAGTGTGTGTATGTGTTTGTGTGGTGTTATGTGTACAGGTGCCAGAAGAGCATGTAAGCTTCTCTAGAGTGGAGTTACAGGCTGTGAGCTGTCGAATGTGAGTACTGGGAACCAAACCCAGGTCCTCCAAAGAGCAGGAAGTATTCTTAAGCACTGACCCATCTCTCCAGCCCCCTACTTCACCTTCCTAGGAAGCCTCAAGATGATCTGTGACAGGCTAAGACTCACAAGCTACCTGCCCTGGGAAATGGCAGATTCCTATTCCCCTATCCATCCTCTAATAACTGGGGATACCAACCCCCAGTTCTAAAACAACACTGCTTCCACCTCCTGAGCTAGGCCATAAAAGTGGAGCTGGCCTAGAGGTACCCAGGGGCCCAAACAAATGAGGGAAGATGGAAGAAGAGACAGTTTCAGTCAAAGGCCCCTAAGGGTGGTTCCTGACTCCCCTGAGCCCCCACTCCCTTTGTACACACCTTTGAAGCATCACTGTTGTGACTGGAGGTCAGGTTGGTATGAATCTGTCAGCGACCCTCTCTCGCTTCTGTCAGTAGAGAAAATGCCCCTTCCTGACAGTGGCTGACCACTCCCTACCACAGACAGCTATGGAAAGTGGAAAGCCCGTCTCCGTGAAGGGCACGCTCTGTGTTCTCTTCTTGCCAGACGCCTCCACAGACAACAGACCTACCTGGCCCTGCTCCTTCAGCACCATGCTCTCCTGCACAAAAGGGCGAGAGAGCAGGCTCCCTGGAGGCAGCTGGCAGCACATCTTTTCTGCTTCTGTCAGGGCTTCCAAGGAACTGGCTAGACCCCTTCTGGGAACAGACTTGAAGAGCTGTGCATTTGATGCACAGGACCCATAACATAACGGGGCTCAACCCTGGAGGTCTCACGGGTAACTAAACAATAACAGTCTTCCCATCGCTCCTGAAATCCTGAGTGCCGGCTGCAGGGAGGCACCGCGTCTCCTTGGCAAATGGAGCTATGTTTCTGCTGTGTGCTATTTCATGAGGAACCCAGAAGCACAAGAGTCAAACAGCGGAGAGGGGCCTGGTGTTGGGACCCAGCTGAACTCCACCTTGCTGTCTAGCAATTGAGTCTCCATCCCTCAGGGTCTCTACAGAATGACCAAAATTCCATCTTGAGTGTTGAGAGCGCTGGAGAAGGTGTGTATAAAAGATGAGGTGCAGGGGAAGCCTTCTTCAAGCCTTCAAGTGCTTATGTTTCACTTAGGAGACATCTAAGCATCCATGATGCTCTCTGAAGATAAACAAACCCTGGCACCTGCCTGACTTCCCACCCTCCTAGCAAGCTCCACTCTTGCTGTCAGACCCACACTTGGTCCCTTCTTTTCAAACCGCTGTTTCCTATGCCCATTATCTCTGGGCTCATTTTATCTGGGCCCCACTAGCCCACAAAGACACTCCAGATACTGTCATTGCTGCTTGAAATCTCTAAACACCATCTAAAGAGGCCTCATCTTTTGAAATGCATTTAGGGAGGTAGGGGACTGTCGTATTTCTAACTCTAGCTCTTAGGATGGTGCCTCTGTCAGAGCACAGACTGTAGGCACCACTATTTTCACTTTTCGTTTCTTGTGGTTTCCTTTTCCCACAGAAGAGGGAGTACAGCATCCTCAGATGAGAAAACAGAAGCAAGCAGGCACATCTGCTGCTCTGGGTCTGTTATCTGAGTATAGAAAATGAACCCAGGGTTTCACACAGGCGGAGCTCCTTCTCATCATGGAACTACACCCCAAGTCTTTGCATAATTTTTATTGCAGTGTTTTGTTGTAACTGTTATATTGCATTGGTGATGCCTGTCAATCTCTCACTGTGCTGATATAGAAATTATATTTCATAATGTAAGTATGGAAAAGCACACACATACAAACAAGGTCAGGACTCCGTGGTGGCTGTCAACACCTAGTGGGGGTCTTGGGTTGCACCCCTGAAGGGGAAAGGGATGAAGCTATTCAAACACTTGGTGAATGGATGTGATTGATCCAGACGAGCTCAGGGCTGTGCTGCAGATCTGCTTTCATGAGCTTCTGTTTGCTCTCTCCATGGCATTTCCAGAGGTTTTCCTGGAGTTTTCCCATTCCTCCACCAGCCGACCCTGCCCTGGGACTGATAAGCCGAACCTACCTAGACTAAAGATCCCCCGTGTGCCTCCTCACCCACCCTGTGCTTGTGACCCGTTCAGCTTCGCTCTCATCCTTTAGGAATGAAGTTATTCTCATTCCAGGGAGGGTCCCCTGTGTGCTCACTACCCATGTGGCTGTCACATTGCCTGAGTACTTGAGTCAGGAGCCCTCCTTCTGTGGAGGACAGGAACTGGGCTGGGGCTGAGAGGCCAGCCTGTCACTTTCTCTTTCTGGGGTTTCCTTTTCCCATAGAATAGTAAGCACAGCGTGCTAAGAGGAGAAACGGGGAGTGAGCAGGCACAGCTGCTGGTCTGTCTGTCTGTCTGTCTGTCTGTCTGTCTGTATAAAGTGCTAGGAGATGAACCCAACATGCTTAGAGTGACATAAACAAAGAGACACAGTCATGGGGCAGGTGTCTATTTAAAATTCCTCCCCCTCATTCTCCTCTTCAAATGAATCAGTCCCCACTTCTTCATAATCCTTCTCCAGGGCAGCCAGGTCCTCCCTGGCCTCCGAAAACTCTCCTTCCTCCATTCCCTCTCCAACATACCAATGTACAAAGGCCCGCTTGGCGTACATGAGATCAAATTTATGGTCAAGACGGGCCCAGGCCTCTGCAATTGCTGTGGTGTTGCTCAGCATGCAGACAGCTCGCTGGACTTTAGCCAGGTCCCCTCCTGGCACAACCGTGGGTGGCTGGTAGTTGATGCCCACCTGAAGAACAGAGAAAGAAGACAGGCAACAGAATGGCATGCAAGTTGACCAAAAACAACGTTGGGCAATCTGTTGGTAATAATAAGCTTTGCTGGCCAGATGTAGGCATGGGTGTGGTGTGGAACTATATGATGGAGCAGGAGAAGGAACAAGGAAGTTGGGAACATGGGTAGACCAAAAGGATGTGTGCTGGGGAGAAAATGAAAGCAAACCAAAGGGCCACAATTCATGAAATTGTGACATGAAAGGCAGCACCTCCAACTGTTTACTTAGGGAGCAAGGTGCAGGAAATTCCTTCCCTGTAAGAGGCAGATCAATTTCTAGAACTGGCATCATTGTCATAAAGCTCATTATTTTCTAGATGTTTATCTGATGCTCCTCTTAGAGTTTTTGGTTTTTTGTTTGGTTTTTGTTTTTTGTTTTTGGGGGTTTTTTTGCAATAAATTTAAGGAAGTTTCTCTGTCAGGGGTGAAGGGCTGTTAAGAAGGTCACAGGGAGAATCCAGAGCAATAAATTAAAAAGGTCCCTGGGGACAGTGTTACTACTCACAAGACCGGGTCTCTAGTAAACAGGGTTCTTAGAAGAAAAGCAGAAAGAGCAACCATAGAAATCAAAGGTCACATAGAAGCAAGCCAACCTCCCAAGACCTGCTAACACACTGGGAGGGGCAGCTTCCCAGTGGGGCTTCTACCCTAGAAATCTCCCCAAAAGGGTCTCAAACCAAAGCAGACCAAGAATTATAGGAAACTAGAAGGCATCAAGATGACAAACTGTGGTGTCATCAGAAGGACACTGAGAACCATGGCACTGCCCCAAACTAACATATATTACCAGGCCATTGTGCTTAAGCTGCCAAACTCTCAGATTCATTGTTTTAAAGCGTATGTCTTCAGATAGTACTAGCTGCAAGGAACACGGCTGCTAAGCAAGCAGCCGGCCACAGATATGAGACACACATTTTGCCACATCTTGTATCTTGCTGCTGTGCTCTAGCCAACACAGGCCTCTCTTCCCTCTTCAACAGTGCCGTTGTAGAGCTGAGTCAAACTGGGGACATTCTCCCCTGGGGAGAAAGTCAACTGGTGAGGCTTAGCAATATGCATTCTGCAGGCATGCACTTTTCTGAAAAGCACCTATCAAGGCTAATAGCACCTTACTCATCTTTCCATATGGGAATTCAGAGCAAGCTTAAGATGGGGGGCATCCCCTCTGTGTTCATCACCCCACTATCCCTACATGTCTTTCATTTTTCTTTCCCATTAACTCCCTTATTAGCTCATGTTATTATTTCAATCAAAAAAAGAACTCCCGTTTTTGGATGGCCTTGACTGCCTTGGCCAGAGTGACCAAACTGACACATAAAAAAGGGTAGTATCAGCCAGGCGGTGGTGGCGCATGCCTTTAATCCCAGCACTCGGGAGGCAGAGGCAGGCGGATCTCTGTGAGTTCGAGGCCAGGCCGGACCGACAGCCTCCAAAACAATACAGAGAAACCCTGTCTCGAAAAACCAAAAAAAAAAAAAAAAACTAGGTAGTGTCTAGGAAGGAAAGGTGGTGAGTATCACAAGGAGCGGAGCGGTGAGCAGAGCGGTGCCCTTGCTCTGCAGGAGGGAGGGGAGAAACTGAGACTTCATGACAAATGGGATTCAGTCACACAAAGACTAGGCCTCCCTCAGTCTTACTCTGAGCTGAATAAGGCGTACAGGTAAAATAGTTAACTAAAATGTATCTTCTTTTGGAAAAAAAGAATTATGCCTCCCTAGCAATTGGAATCGTTTAGTTGGCTCTAAAATTAAAATGTACCTAGAAGGGTAAAATATCTATTAAATTTTCTTTTTTTCAAATTGAAATGAATCGCCAGTCCTCAAGGCGTTGTGATTCAGGTCCCTCTGTTTAAAAAAAGAAAAAGTCAAAGATGGTCAACTAATCTTAAATAGCAGCAAACTCAAGCACTTTCTAAAAGCAGACCAGCCTTCAAGAGCTGAATACCTCAGTCAAAGTTGAATGAAGTCAGGGTTGCATTGATTTAAGTCATCTCCAACATTATCATAAAGACCAGAAGCTCCAAGATTCATTCTCTCCAATAACTCCCTCTGCACTCCAGTTCTCCACCTCCCCAAATCATCAGTTCTCACCTTGAAGCCTGTGGGACACCAGTCAACGAACTGGATGGTTCTCTTAGTCTTGATGGCAGCAATGGCAACATTGACATCCTTGGGTACCACATCACCTCGATAGAGCATGCAGCAGGCCATGTATTTGCCATGACGTGGGTCACACTTCACCATCTGGCTGTTGGGCTCAAAGCAGGAGCTGGTGATCTCTGCCACAGACAGCTGCTCATGGTAGGCTTTCTCAGCAGAAATGATGGGTGCGTAAGTGACCAGCGGGAAGTGAATTCTGGGATAGGGTACCAGATTGGTTTGGAACTCCGTGAGGTCCACATTGAGGGCTCCATCAAAGCGGAGAGAGGCAGTGATTGAGGATACAATCTGGCTGATGAGGCGGTTGAGATTGGTATAGGTGGGGCGCTCGATGTCCAGGTTCCTGCGGCAGATGTCATAGATGGCTTCATTGTCCACCATGAAAGCACAGTCTGAGTGTTCCAAGGTGGTGTGGGTCGTCAGGATGGAGTTGTAGGGCTCCACCACTGCTGTGGACACCTGAGGTGCTGGGTAGATGGCAAATTCTAGCTTGGACTTCTTGCCATAGTCAAGGGAAAGTCTTTCCATCAGCAGAGACGTGAAGCCAGAGCCTGTGCCCCCTCCAAAGCTATGGAAGATGAGGAAACCCTGCAAGCCGGAGCAGGCATCTGTCTGGGGAGAGCCAGACACAAGGAGAATCAGAAGAGCCCTGACCCCACATGGAGACAAACCGCAGTTGTCTGCCACACCCCATCCTCAGTATTTTTACGTCAGGAAAATCATAATAGCCTATAAGGAATAAGACACAAAAGAGGTTGTTTTGATCTCGGGAGGAGTGGTTAATGTCTAGACTGACAAACTACACATGGATACAAAAGGCTCTAACTTGGAGCTGGCCAAAGCAGGAGTAAGTGGTCTCAGAGTTGCCAGAGTGGTAGACCTTGCCTTCTGAGAACTCGAACCTTGCCTGCTACACCTGTCCTTGACGTATAATTTTATGGGCATGGCTGGCATGCACATCTCAAACTTGGAAAGTGCTCAGGGTGCCAGTTTGAGGAAAGTAAAAGGGGCTATGGTTTCTTTCTTTTAAGATTTTGAAATATTGAGATTTAAGAAAATGTTTTTAGGTTGACAAATCACAGTTGTGTATGTTTGTGGCTTTTGTGTGCATCGTGGGATGACCACAGCAAGACAAGCAACATGTCAATGAATTCCCAACTTGTAAATTCTTCACCAGTTATTAACCTTTCCAAAGGAAAGGGCCTCCTCTCCCTTGGCTACATCCTCATCTTGGAAGGTTCTGTGATGGCTAGTAAGATAGCATCATGTTCTCAGCAAGTACCTGATGTGTAGAAAACACTCCATGTTGACTCCTGGAAGAACTATAGTAAGCACTCCATGTTGACTACTGGCAGAACTAAGAGAATTCATAGACTCACAGAATTTTCCCAGAGGATGTAAGCTATGATCCAGTGGTTCTGAACTTCTGAGCACCACAAATCTGTCAATTTTTCCACACCATGTGGAAATGAGAACTTTAAAAAGACAGAGTGATGTAGCCTACAATGCAGCTTTGTAGTCAAGAGCCTGATTCACACGCTAACTCTGCACTCTCTAGCACACTTAACTAGTGTGACCCAAGTGTGACTCCAGTCCAAAACTCCTCTATCTGCCTCTTACAAAGGAAATACCTCCCTTGTTTGTTTATTGGAGAGCAAAGTAATGTGTCTAATCAGAACTTGTAGTGTCTATATCAGTACTCAAATATGCAAACAAATCTCTTCCTCAATTTTTCCAAGCCTTACTAACCCATGTTTCTAACTTTAACCCCGGTCTATAGAGTAGGCCAGTGTACGCAGACAGAGGGAGGTATGTTATCCTTGTGAATGCTCCCTCTGAAAATGAGCAGAGGCCTGCTGGTACAGCCATTAGAACAGCATGTGCATGACATGATGAGGCCCTGGATTTGGTCCTCAGCACCAACAAACAAACAAACATCCCCACGAACTCTAGGAGCTACACACGTAGCCAGCCGATGCATGCCTCTACCCCACCTGAGTCCAAGCCTGACCAGATGTGCTCTGCCCTGCCCTGTTGTTCTTACCAGCTTACGGATACGGTCCAGTACCAGGTCGATACTCTCCTTGCCCACCGTATAGTGTCCACGGGCGTAATTGTTAGCAGCATCCTCCTTCCCCGTGATCAGCTGCTCGGGATGGAAGAGATGGCGGTAGGTTCCTGCCCGCACCTCATCTGTCAAGAGACAGGAGCCTCAGATGCTGGTGTCCAGGAAAAATGCTCTACCCAGATCATCTGAGTATGAGACTCCACTGGAGTGAAGCCAGTCTACCCGACCGAGAACAAGTCTAAACGACTGAAGATCCTAAGTGACAAGGGCACTAACCAAGCCCGGGCCCATGAGCCAAGTTAGAATGGAGGAGGAGACTTCAAGAAACAGAGTCCACTCATCTAACACCAAAGCCATTTCCTCCCTTTCTCTCCTTGCCTCCACCTGGATCTGGATCCTCCAGAGCACTCTCCAAGAAGCCCGAGGAACCCTGTTCTGAGAAAGCCGGAATTCACCTGTGTGTTTCTAAATCAGGAGGCCTAGTGTCCTTACAAATGCAACACCTCTACTTGTGAATGTGGCTCCTCTCACCCCACCTTGACTGTGAAGTTCTGCAAGGTTAGACCATACCCCTGAGGCCAGCCTGCAGCTATAGTCAGAGACCTACACTTTAGGAAATGAATGCTTGGGAGGCTTTTCGAGACAGGGTTTCTCTGTGTAACAGCCCTGGCTGTCCTGGAACTCGAGCTGTACACCAGGCTAGTCTCGAACTCACGGTGATCTATCCATCTCTGCCTTCCAAATGCTGGAAATAAAGGCGTGTGCCACCACCACCTGGCTGGGAGGTTTCTAATAATTTCTAAAGTTGTTTGTTTTTTAACCCCCTACTATCAGTAACAAGCGCAGCCATTTCCATCTCTCACAGCAGGTTGAAGAAGCATTTGGTTCTGCATAGCCGAGCAAAGAGCCTTTTGGCCCCTACAACAAACTCCCCCAGGAGCCGGGGGAAGTCACAGGGAGGGTGAGTTCTAGTTGGCTCACTCACATCTTTCAACTCACTTCACTCGCGTAAGCCAGCGCCCCGCACGTGGCTGTTGTGCAGCAGAGCCGCCTTGGCCCGTACTCACCGACTACAGTAGGTTCCAAGTCGACCATGACAGCCCGGGGCACATGCTTTCCATTTCCAGTCTCACTGAAAAAGGTGGTGAAGGAGTCGTCATCGTTGACCTTGCTGGCCTGAGTGCCAAAGGTTCCATCTGCCTGGATGCCATGTTCCAAACAAAAGAGCTCCCAGCAGGCATTGCCAATCTGAACTCCAGCTTGACCCACGTGAACTGATATGCATTCCCGCTGTGGAAACAGGGCACATCAAAGTCAGAGAACCCAAGCCCCTGGGCATGGGCTGAGGCTATCTCTCCCTCACGTTCAACCAGCAGGATGCTCAAGCCTACAGCCTCACCATTCCACAACCAGGATGTGTCTGGCTTTTCGGGTGCTTGGCACCACTACATCTGGCACAAGACATGGGCCCAAAGAAGTCAAAGACAGCTACAGACGAATCTTAACTTTACAACACATGGTGCCAGTGTTCACACTAACTCCTAAGCGTGTCACACACTGGTGTGCATACAGAGCCCAGGACTATCACAGGGCAGCCACCATAGACACAGTCAGTGTTACCACTGCAAATGCAGAAATAATAAACACACAATATACCATCAAGGCCAGGGAACGATGAGAGATTAGAAACACTTTTGGAGCCACCATTAACTACCTCATTGCTTAGATCAGGCCAAGCATTAAGTAAAACTCACCTTTTGAGTGTCCTTCTATCTCTATTGCTCTGATTAAAAGCAACAAATGTCCAGTTGATCCCGGAATTAATTATCATATGAGGATAAGGTGTGAGTGTGTTGGTATGTGTGTGTGTGTGTGTGTGTGTGTGTGTGTGTGTGTGTGTGTGTGTTGAGAACCCTTCCAACCAAATGTCCCGGGAATATGGACTCATCCTCCACCCCTTCCCAGACTGTGGGGAAGCAGTGGCCCACACAGGGTGACTCTGTACTGTGACACCTGCCAAAGACCAGCAGGGAAGCATGTGCCTGGTCTAGAAGTTTCTATTCTTATCCATGACCTGATGTGGCACCTTCCAGCTCTGGGTTACCCAAGCCAGAAGCAAAGCCTCTGGAGAGCATGGCTGGTCCAGGAAACAAGCAGTGTCCACATCCAAGTTCAGACTCCTGGGAATTCAGAAGCCTCTCCAGGCATAGGAGTGGAGCAGATGCCCTGAGCACCTCCAAGGACCAGAGCTTTCAGGACCCATTGCTCCCTAGTTCTGTTTTGTAGCTGAGTCCCTACTCTCCCCATCACTCTGCTAGCCCTTGCCACTGGAAGGAAAGTGTGCAAGCATTCGAAGCCATCTGTATGGGGCACAGAGCTGCAGACTATGGCCCAGCATTACTTTCCAGGGCTCAGTGAAAGGCTTCTTCGCTCACAGCTTGCCCATGCAAGGTTCACAGGTAGACATCTCAATTCTTTTGGTGTGTTGTATGACCCTTGACCTCTCCTCATCTGAAAATGAGCTTTTAGCCATGTTGTCATTGGTTTTACCATTGTCACCATAGGGCAGGATCTTCTAGCTCCTCCTCAACCCTCTGGGAGCACAGGTAGGGAGTCAGAGCTCGCAGGCTCCTGTTCTTACTCCCTTTGTTGGGGGCCTGCTTCTACTTCCACTTTAAGACTAAGGAAAGCACACCCTACACCGAGCGGCCGTCCCACACTAAGCGTGTTATTATTGACACAAAGCTACAGCACACATTCAGTAAGCAGCCATGGCTTCTCAGGAAGGCCCCTGACATTGAGGGAACACTGGGCAGCCCACTTGGAGGCCGATCCTGAATCTCCTCCTCCAAATTACAGTCTCATCTGTGTCCCCAAAGTTCAGCTTTCCGAGATTTGTCTCTTCAGGTCACCATCGTATACCAACCACCCCCAGTTTATTGAGGGTGCTGTATGGTTTCCAGCCTTCTGACTTCCTTCTGGAACACTCTAGGCCTTTCCAGGGAAGATGAAAGGTTATTGCAGAAAGGAAAAAAAGTTCATGAGGAGAAGAGAATAGGATAGTAGTGACCTGCAGTCAGCAACACACGATCCAGTTTTTTCAGTCTCTTTGATGACCCCTCAATCTTTTTTTTTTTTTTTTTTTTTTTTGGTGAGGGAGATTTGGTTTTTTGAGACAGGACTCCTCTGTGTAATAGTCCTGGCTGTCCTGGAACTCACTTTGTAGACCAGGTTGGCCTGGAACTCACACCTGCCTCTACCTCCCGAGTACTGGGATTTAAGGTGTGTGCCACCACCACCCAGAACTTTTTTTAAAAAGATTTATGTATTTCTTATGTACACAGTGTTCTGCCTACATACCAGAAGAGGGCACCAGATCTCATTACAGATAGCTGTGAGTCACCACGTAGTTGCTGGGAATTGAACTCAGGACCTCTGGAAGAGCAGCTGGTGTGCTTTTAACCTCTAAGCCATCTCTCCAGCTCATATCTCCAGTCCCTGCCATGCCTCAATCTTATATGAATAAATAAATAACTTTGCAGAGACCCTCTCTTTTAGCCTCTTCCTCCTCTCTCTCCTCAGAGTAAAACTCACAAAAGGAAACTATCCTGAGAAAAACACATTTGTGCTGTCCTCCCAGACTGGCCTTTTCATTCTACCGCTGAGCTACATCCCCAGAGAGCTCTTTTCCAACAGTATCGTGCCCCCAAACACCTAGGAGCCAAATGATGGCGTAATAGCGCCCCGTATACTTCCTCACAAATTCTCCTCCTCCTCCTCCTAATCCTCACAAATTCTCTCTCCTCCTCCTCCTAATCCTCACAAATTCTCTCTCCTCCTCCTCCTAATCCTCACAAATTCTCCTCCTCCTCCTCCTAATCCTCACAAATTCTCTCTCCTCCTCCTCCTAATCCTCACAACTTCTCTCTCCTCCTCCTCATTTATTCTCTCTCACCTCTTCCTCCTCATCCTCCTTATATATTTGTCTCCTCTCACCACTGAACCACACTCTCTGTCTCATAAAAGTGGTTGCAAGACTATACCATACCAAAACCATGTTAGGAGCAGAACAGCTGCTTGAACTATGCAGACTTTGAATTATAACTTGAACAAATCAAAATAGGAAAAATTAGTTTCAATTAAGTATAATAAAAATACGGTTAGGTATGAAAATGCTTTTACTTTCTAGAATTAGTATCTGAAGCACCTAGCAATAAAATATATCTGTATTTAAAGCACTGTTTTTTTAATTTTTAAAGGACTTTATTTATTACATATACAGTGTTCTGCCTGCATGTATGTCTGCATGCCAGAAGAGGGCATAAGATCTCATTACAGATAGTTGTGAGCCACCATGTGGTTGTTGGGAATTGAACTCAGGACCTCTGGAAGAATAGGCAGTGTTCTTAACCCCTGAGCCATCTCTCCAGCCCTGTTTTTTAATTTTTAACAGTATTGGAGATCAAACCCAGGGCCTTCAAATGTTAGCCAAGTGAGCTACACTCCTATCTTTTAAAACACATTAATAAACACAAGAGATAAGTAGGTATGGCCTTAAATGATAATTATTACACATAAGCAATAAACATATAGGTGGCATTATACTCATCTACTTTTCTGGAGGTTTAAGTTTTTTCATAGTAAAAGTGAAGACACTAATAACAACCTAAAAGAAATAGATGAAAAGTAGGAGTTAGAGACTCCATCATGTTAACCTGGTTTTCTCATCTCACACAGCCACTTACTCAAATGACATTTGCTAAGGGCCCACCCTGTGAGGCTTAGCAAAAATCGCAAAGCTACATAAGAGCTTGCCTCCCACACAAGCCAGGCCCTGGGCTTGATCTGTTTCCTGTTTGGAATTTTACATGGCTAGCTTGGTATTGATGTCCACTACCAGATAGATGCCATCACCAACTACCTAAGGCACCAGAAGTTCAGACTAAGAGGGAGGCAAGAGGTTTGGGCGCAAAGGGTTAAGTTTAGATGCAAGTAGATCACAACTTATATGCACTTTCCGGGGATCCTGTGGCCTATGCACATCCTCAGAATCCCAGGGGATGATTTGCTCATGGTAGGGTATTACAGTTTGCACCTAGAATGCCTTCCAAAGGGTCACGAGTTAAAGGCCTGACCCACAGCCTCTGGCACTATCGGGAAGTAGAGGAGGCGGAGTCCAGCCGTGTGTGTGTGTCGGCTCTCAGGGGCACACCCTCCTGGGACTGCAGAACCCGTCTTTCCCTCCTTGGCCATCAGGCATGTGGTTTGTCACTAGCTTCTACCATGTTCCTCTGTCATGCACCACTTCACCTCAGACCTAGAACTGATAGGGACAACCAAAACCGAGCCAAAATAAACCTTTCACTTCGTAAGTACCTAACCTCAGGGTGTGTTGCCCTGGCAGAAGCTGGCACAGGGGCCGCTTCTCCACATGGTCTGCTCAGCCACCACCCCTCCTTCTACCTGAAGTCCCACACAGATGAGCAGGGGAGACCAGTGTGACACCCTTGGGAAGCCGGTCCCCACACCTAGGAAAGGGCATCGGTCTGCCTGGCGAGAGCCAGATGCAAGCTCAGCACGTGGGTGGGCCGGCCCCGCGGATGACCTAATGATGCCTTCTCCATCTCAGGTAGGCACAGAGAGGCAAAGGCTAGACTGAAGACACACAGCAGTGCAGCAAGAATGCCTGGCCTAGAACCCAGGGCTTTCAAGTCCAGCCTGAGCTCTGGCCTTTGTCCCTACAACCTCCTGACTCACCCTTACCCTGAATTTCCAGGGCCTAGGGATGCGGCTGCCTGGTAGTGGAAGTCAATACCAAGCTAACTACGCAACCCTCCCAATGGGAAATGCTCTCTGCACAGAAATGCTGGGAGAGCATCGGGAACCAGTCCCCTTCAAAGTGAGTCATCTTCCTCTGCCACTGCCAGGAAGCTGTTCCTCGGGATAAGCTGTGCAGCCAAGGATGCGGGGCAAAGGTAAGCTGAGTTAGCAAGGATATTTCAGTCATATGTTGCTCCAAACTCATATCTCAGGTTCCCCTTGGTAGCCAGAGTTCCTGTCCCCTCCCCCTCTTGATTCTATTTTGAATCTGGGCCTGTGGAGCTCTGTTCTCCTGGGTCCCTGTAAGGGAAGGCTCTGTATGCTGCCAGAATCAGAACTCAGCAATGCAGGGGGGTAAAGGGCAATAGAAAGACTTATACACTGCTCAAGAAAAGTGACATCCCTCTACAGAGCTGGTAAGTCAAACACCACCTGCAAAAGTTCATCCCCACATGGTAAGTACTGTCACA